ACTCCTGCCGTACCCTTATCTGGCCCCGTGTTGGTCCAACGCATCTACCGCGCCGCCCGTTTAGGGGGCACGACCACCGCGTCGAACTGAACACGTGCACATCTCACTATGGCATTTTGATGAAGTCTGAACACGTTTACTCGTGAACAGGCATGCGTGTCACATCAACAGTGGGCAGATAGGTTACATGTGCATGCACGAGATAAGAGGGATTGAAAGGGATTTCAAGACAACCTTTCTCATAATAATTCACTTAACTATCCAGTATAATAAGTATGTCTAGTTCGAACCGATCGTTACGCACCAAAATTAATGGATCGGCAGGTTGCCAACGGACGAGATAACGAGAAGAGCGTTCACCGGGTGAGATTTAGTGTAAGTCTGACGTTCCAGGTAGTTGCCTCGTCTACCCACCCTCAGAGAACGGACACTCCGGCGTGGTTGTCGTTTTTATGCCGCTCTTTTTTCCGTGTGCATTTTTTGCCAATCCTGGCTGAGTCGCTGTTTGTCTCGCGTCTCACCTTCGGCCTCCATATTTACCATGTCTGTCACCGTGCTGCTTGTGTTGGTTTCGCCCCAATGTGCAACCGCCCCGTCGACCCCCGTCGCTCCTCGGCTTGCTTCAGGTATATACACGTTGGTCGTGGAGTTAGTTGGCGGCGCCGATTGTTCCATGCCTATGTACTTATAACAAATCCTACTTCAGTGAGACTCGCATCTGTGTATAACAGCCGGTAAGCTGTGACTCCACGCTAGGTCAGCTACTGTATCCCACGACACGGGAAGCCTTCCTGACATATGAAGGCTAATGAGAGCAATAAAATAAAGTCGAGGCTACGCTGCCTTAAATTCCCCGTATAAATAGGTAAGTGTACTCTGAAACAATCACGATACACCAACAGTCGTGACGTAGGAGATTTCCAACTGAAGAGCTGACTCGTGCTTACGGAAGATCAGTCTGCAGTGGCACCTTATAAATGCGATCAGTATCACTTGTATGAAGTCCATGGCTCCCTAACGAGGCCAGGTACATTTGGAAGTAGGAGACATGCCGTGTGTGGTATGCATAAACAGGTTATTTAACATTGCCAGCCGCTACTTCTACGCCCACGCCTAAAAGGTATCGATCTTAGCTTGCCATTGTGAATGGGTCTGTCTCGAGAATACGAAGTGGCCGCATCAAGTGTCTGTTTCACACATAAGAAAACCCACATGCAAGTAATCGTTGCGCCAAATTCACGGG